TATCTGAACCAGATATTTCTGTTGAATAAATTTCAATAAGATAATATTTTTTGGTATGAATAAATTGTGTTGACAAAAAAAAACAAAAGATAAAGATTTATTTATTTTAGCACTTTTTCCACGTCATACAAAAGCAGCAGAACGTGATAATACAATAAATCTTATTCATGCACTTCGAAATTATTTTCATTATCATATTAAATGTTGTAAAGTATGTTTTCGATTCATTTAAATAACAGACGAGTTGAAAGTTTCTCGAGAAAATATTTGATTATTTTTTGTGTATGTACATGCACTGGTAGTGTATTAGAAGTAGAATTTTGTGCTTTATAAGAATATAGGTTTAGAATTCTTCTGTGACTTTAGACTATTGATCTACAAATAAATCCTGACAGAACTCAAAAAATTTTCTGAAGAGGCAAAAATCTTATTTTGCTAAAGATAAATCTGCTTCTTGCAGACAAAAAATAATTTCTGTAAATATATAATAATTGAGAATGATCTCTATTCTACAAATTGACGCAAAAATTCACCAGTTTGTAGAGAATTATTCTCTATATCTTTCAATATATTCGATAAAATGGTGTAGGATATCTTGAATAAGTTCCATTTGAGGCTTTTACCTTTAGAAATAAAATTTTCAAAGTCTTTTCAACATTTGCTTATAGTTCTGAAAGAGCACAACATTCTAATTCTAATATATTACTTAATGCATTTAAATACACAAATATTTTGTGTCGAAACTTTTAACTGACCTCTTATTTATTTTATTTCAATTGTTATCTTTAGGCATATTTACATGCACATATGCGTCATAAAACAAATGAATTTTTAAGACGTCTTCAATTAGCTCGACCAGAAGTTAAAAAGAGTTTTCGACGTGTTGGACCAAATACAGCGAGTATGTTAAAAAGAACAAAAACTTTTCTGTTTTCATAAAATCTTTTATTTTATTTAGGTGACGCACCAAGTGGTATGGAATAAAATTTTCTTTATTAAAACAATTTGTGATTCCATTTCTTGTTTTTTTTTCTTTTTTTATTTTAATAACCGGCTGATTTTCATGTAGCTGTTAATTTATCTCTTATGTGTGCGTGTTTGTGTGTGTATAGCTTTTCATTAATTATGATAACGAAAAAACAAAAAAGAGAAAAGAATTTATTAAATATATTGTATGTTTGCATGAAGAAATTCACAATCACGATATTTTCCTTGAGAATTATTAAGAAAACGACATAGACAAATAAATGGATAATTATGTAGAATTGAATTTTTATAGAATATATTTATACAATGAGTAGTCACATTTAAAGATGTATATTTGGCTCGACATTTCAAATGACCACGATGTTCATTATTACAACCATTATGACCACTAGAAATTAATTCGAAAAGACCACCAATCCAACCACCCATTGTTATACCTTTTATTTTCCTATGAAAAATGATCGAGAGATTCATCGTAAGAAAATAATATTTATATATTTTCAATTATTTATCTAATAAAATTTTTATTATATATATTAACTTACCGATAATAATAATTGTACAATAGGCAACACAATAAGCAGCATTATTAAATTGTTGTCTGTCATTATCTTCTTGTCTATATTAACACATATAAGTTTTATCTTAAATATAAATATGAACCAAATACCTGAAAAATCTTTTAAATGGTTTTCGTCGTCTTATATAAGATTGTTTGTTGAATGGATCTATGACAAGGATATTATTCTTCTGTTTCAATCGATCGAAATGAAATTGTGATGGTTTGTTACGTTTATGAATCGGTGTATTTATAATTGTTTGTTGTCGCTGTTTGTGCGTATCTTTCAATGCAATAATATTTTTGAGTAATGGTTTTTGTTCATGAATTATATGTTCATGTGGTATTGATTGTGGTTGAATAACATGTGCAGATGATTCATTAGTAACTTTTGAATTTCGTTCATCTCGCATACGTTTTAATAGATAAGACATGTTGTATGGATTACCTGAAGATGTTTTTTGTGATATAATAGAAATAGATTCGGAGATGGTAGTAGTACTCCGAATACTTGACAGTGATAGTGGAGATCGAGAATATTTATGAGTCATAATTGATTAATAAAAAGGAAATGTAGAAATTATTTTAAAGTAGAAGAATGTCTATTGTAATTTTCTATTTTATAATTAATTTTTCGAGAATTGTATCTAGACAACCACGAATATTAAATAATATAGCTATAGGTTTTCTTTTGTTTTTTTTAATAATTGATAAACATAATTGAATATGACTACATCAATTATTGTCGCATTCATGTAATAAATCTTATCTGTCTTTTCGTAATTCATTTAGTTGTCACATTCATTCGATGAGAATTTTTTTGTTATATCGCTTGACTTTTGCTGTGATAGTTTGTAAAGGTTATAAAGGTTGTGTCCTAAGTTTTGATCCCTTCAAGTAATACTCATTTGTTATATGTTTTTTCGGCAGAATAGGCTAATATTCATATCATATATACTAGACATCTAAATCTACTCTACGCTAGAATTTCAGCTTTCTACCTCTTATGGTCACAGAGATACAAGTAACTTAAAATTCATAGAAAAATTTTGAAATAATTAACGAGTAGACCAGTAAAATTGGCTGCGTTTTATATTTTATTTTTTCATCATCTAACACGTTATATCAAAGAAGAAAATATACCACAAGATGCGATGTGAAAAGCTCTACAACTTACATAGTAAAGCTCATTTTAATTGTGTACTTTTTGTTTTCAAAACAAGCAAAATTCGGTGAGACCAATTTTCGACGCTGTGAAAAGTGATCACACATTTTTTTTACAATAAAAAATACATAATTAAAATAAGGTTCATCATGTAGGTTGTAGAGATTTTCACGTTGCATCTTGTAGTATATTCTGTCTTTTTTAAAATGACGTATTAGGTGATAAAAAGATGAAATAAGAAAAAATGAACTTTCCATTCGGATAGAAAAAAGTGATCTTTTCGCGATTTTCCTTCTTGCAAAATAAAAAGTACACAATTAAAATAAGCTTTACGATGTACGTTATAGAGTTTTTCAGGCTGCATCTTGTGGTATGTTTCCTTCTTTAATATGACATATTAGATGATGAGAAAATAAAATGCAAAATGAGGTCGTTTATTCTGGCTCACTCGTTATTTCAAGAAATTCCTATGAATTTTAAGTTACTTGTATCTCTATGACCATAAGAGGTAGAAAGCTGAAATTCTAGCGTAAAGTAGATTTAGATGTCTAGTATATATGCTGTGAACATTAGCCTATTCTGCCGAAAAAACATATAACAAATGAGTATTACTTGAAGGGATCAAAACTTTGGACACAACCTTTATATATTTTAGATTAATTCTAAATTAATAACAATGGAAGAATACTTTCTTATTTGTTTATTCTTTTTCTATTTTGTAACATATTCATCAAGTAGTCTCGTTGATGAAATAGTAACAATGTCTTGATCATCCAATGAACCTGCACCAATAATTGATTGTTTCCTAAATAATAATACTGAAATACAATTAAAAGTTCTTTGTCGTAAATCATCATTGAATGCAAGTGTAACTCGAGCGCAAATAAAAAAGAAATTATATAAATTAGATCAAACAATCAAAGATACAAATATTAAAATTCGTGGTCGAATTGGTCGGATTATTGGATGTTTACCATTACAATCCAATGCATTAATAAGTACACTATTAATAACCGAAGATGATAAAAATTCACAAAAACAAAAAAAATATCTGGCAAATGTATTATGAACAAATATGGAAAGAAATGGAAGAAAAAACATTTATAACACATCAATCTGATTGTGATTATACTAGTATTCATTTATATATTGATAAATATTCAAATATAAAACAACTAGAAATATCACCAGAACAAGCAATTAAATTAAGACAACAAGAAGCCCAATCAAATAAAAAACAAAATAAAGAGAAAAAACTGGTCGTCAGGCTACTGATGAAAAATCATCACCATTACTCAATCGTTTACATTCAAAAATAGGAACATTATTACCATAGGATGATGGATATTATCTTATTGAAATTTATTCAACAGAAATATCTGGTTCAGATA